AAGATAATGCTCTGGATAAATGATGGGAAGAGCATTCTTTCTATGGTTAGGAATATGTGGAAAATGCCACACAGTATTATTCTTTGTAGGAGCTTACAGGTTCTATCAATATGTTGAAACATCAAAGAAATTGTAGTCAGAGAAATTAGTATTATTTAGTCCTAAAGAGTACAAATTCAGGAGTTAAACTGCCAGGGTTTGAACCTTGATTCCACCAATAAATAGCTTGTGGCTTGGAGAAAATACCCAGCTTTTGTGACTCAGATTTCACAGTTGTCAGTGGGAAGAACACCATTATTGACCACAATGGGATGAGAAGTTGTAGTGAGATACACTGAGTGTTTAGAAGAGGTAAACAAAGTCAACCGTCAGTAGTAGGAGTCCTTTTAAAAGCCTGTCCAAACTCTACCGTGTCTCTACAAATTGTGTCTTGAGTATCTTCCAGAACAGTTATTCTTTGGAATATACTTTGAACAATCCTAAAGCACAATGTTATGGTACTGACAAATTCTGACTCTCTGATAGAAGGCATTCGTCATATTAATGTCCAAGCAAGCTACTTCCCAACATACTGTACTGGCAGCTGTTTTGTCAGAAGTCCTCTTGCCAGAACATAAGAGCAACTCTGCTAAGTGTAAAGACGTTACCTCGTGGATGTTCCGGTCATTGGAGCCGTGTGCATCCGTTTCGTACATTAGCAGAGTTCAGCCAGATCAGTTTATCATATTAAGGTTTTTTCATGTCCCTGAACACTGAGCCCCAAAGGAATGGAGCACCAAGTGGTGAAAGCATTAATGATTAATAGAAAGAAATCGAATGTGTGGCTGAAAGATGGTGCAGTCTGCAAAGAAAAAACAGATTATCTAGACTGTAGATTAATATTTGCATTTTCCCTGGGGCTAATCTTCAACAATGTGAGTTTTCAAAATGGAGAAGCAAAATAGTAAAAAGAAGAGAAGTTAACTGCTTCCTCCAAGGAGAAACACGTTCCAAGTTCATAACGAAATGGAAAATCCTCCCAGACCTATGAGTGCAAAAGCTACAATAAATCTTCCTACCCTGTTCTTAAAGGTGAGATGCTTAGAAAAACAACCATTAAAAGGAGAAGTCAGCTAATTAATTTGACAACTTTCAGAGGGTCTTTGATTCCTTTTCAACTTTGCATTTGCTAGCTTCTCTTGGTTCACGTTGTTTATTACCAGAAGAAAATCATAAGAAATAAGTGAAGAAAAAAAATTAGTTCATTCATAATTCTATATCCTCAGCAATTAAAAACTATTTTCAATTATTCTTGTTCTATCAAGTCTTAATTACAATAACATATCATTTCTACGTACTATTTTATGTGGAGATTAAACTTAGGGGGTATTTTCTCCACTGAGCATTTTATATTAAGCGTTTTCTCTCAATGATACATAAAACTTTTAAAATAATCATTTGTAGTACCACGGACATAAAATGAGTTCTAATTATGTTATACTACAGTGAGTGTCTTCCTATAGTTCTCTCTTCCTAAAGATTTTCAGACTTCAGTACAATCAGAATTGCAGGAGCCCTTGTTACACAAGGTGTTTGGGCACTAACTAATCCTGAAGTTTCTGATTCAGTTTTTCCAGAATGAGTTCATACTTGAGCCCAGGTGGTATCAATCAATTGAATAAGCAGAAGAAGGGGAAAATTCTTACTTCTCTCCTCCCAGAAATCAAGACATTACACCCCAGATCCATCTATCTATATTTCAAAGACACATATCATGATGGATTGGAGATATTCAAACTGCTACTGCAGAAATTGGTAAGAATTTATACTCACCACGTAAATTCAAAAATTATCGTGTACTCTCGAGTTATGACCAGGCTGATATATGAACAACTTGGGTTACAACTGGAATTTTAGTTTTAACTTACGACCAAAGTCTTGTATTACAACCCGAATGCCGGCCACTTGTGCTTCCAGATGGTCTCAGATACAGATTTAACCCTTAAAGAAAGAGTTCTAAAAGGAACATGACAACATCATTTCCTGTGTGGGGTTAATTGAGAAATCCTGGGCCAGTGTCTCTCTAAGGACACGGAGATCTTCCTGTGTACAGGAGAGAGACTTTGCAGGCTGTGTAGAGGAACCTGAGCCTTCATTGACCAACTTGAGTTACAACCAGCCTTCTGAAGGATTGAGTTGGTAAGCCAAGGGTCCACTGTAACTGAAATAATACAACCTTGAAGGACAGTAAGTTTGTATCTGTATAATATAGATACCAATTAGTTGCATTTGATAGTTTAAAGAATAATGCTGCTCAGTGAAAAGTATGGGTGAAAATCTGGCTTTGAGAAATTGGTTTTGATTGGGTAGCAGCAACAACAACAACAAAACTCCCCTTTGCCAGGGGATTATTAGGACATTTGCATAAAAACAAAGTAAAAAAACCTCAGAGGTTTTCCTTATACTGAAGAATTTTTTATATTTGGATAGAGACTGATTCCTTACTTGTAAGTAGAGATATATTTATATAGACAAATGTGGCCACATAATCTTATGGATGTTTCTACATATAGGTGCATGTTAGATATATGGAAACTATCCATCCTTACACTGGTTTCTAGAAATCAACAAATAAACTATACTGTATCAGAAAGTATCTTCCTGGATCTTTCACTGAAAGCTGTACACATTTTTATAGTTTTAAAACTTTTACTTCTTATCATTGAAGTGTATAAAGAGAAGATATGTTTATTTATATACATACATAACCATACAACAATAAAGCAAAGGCATTGGGTGTTGTCACCAGACCCAGGAAGGTGGTTAATGATAATAATGTTAACTCTGGCTTACATTAAGAAGAGTAATTCAAGTGTAACTGTGTTAGACACAGGCTTATTAAGAGAACCTTACATATGACTTTCAGAGGGCCAATTCCTTCTGAGTCAATGTTTTGATAATTGTGTTACCTTTAAGAGTCAAGTCAATAGTCTTAATATACTTAAATGGCACTACTTTGTTCTTTGAATTGGACAAGTCCATTATGACAATAAGAAGACACTACTGACTCAGATGGACAGAAAGCTAGGGGACATATGCTAAGACACCCAATATGTTTTGTTGTGTGTACTTTTTACAGACCAATATACGTAAACATGGCCAGGTGAATATGACCATATTAGCCTCCTACAATGATGTGACTAATTTTAAAATATGGCATAATAATGCAAACTTAAACAATATAGAACTGTAATAAAGATGCACAACAGCAAACTTAGGATCATTTGAAAACCAATTCAGTACCTCTGAGGCTTTTTGAGTAATAAATTTCAGTTCCTTATAATGCATTAGAGCAGAATGACAATCACTAAATAAGTCACTGATACATAATCATGTGTAATATATACATTTTCCTGAAGATAATAGATTACATGAGAAAGAAAACCATCTAATTTGTTAATTATGTGTTTTATTAACATTTCTATTATAAAAAGGAAACTTTTTAATAAAAATGAAGCCCTCTATGTTGGTTCTAGGATCTAGGGCTCAATATTCAGAGAGAGACTCTCTACTGAGAAAGGTCGGCCTGGTAAAATTTTAACAGATCCATGGAGACTAAATCATTCCTATTTAATGTGGTAAAATGAAAGCAGGAAGCTTGGCTAAAAAAAATGTTATCCTTGCAATAAAGGACAATAACTACCACAACAATAACAACAAAATAAGCAACTCGAGAAGCTGTTTCCTAGTAAGACTATTCACCCACATTTATTCCCAATCTTTAATAATAATATATGGCTATATCCCTCTTGCTGCCATTCCAAAGCACAACAGCAAATATTTCCTGGAATTTAAAAAATCCTGTAAACACTGACTTAAAATTAGGTTAAAATACGTAACGATGGACATTATTTTAAAGGTAAATTGTGATGAAACGTTTCCTCACATACGTGCATCAGAGCCTTTAAAAAGACCTGCCCCATAAATGAGTTTCAGGTAAAAGTTGAAGTTAAGAAAATGTTACAGCAACACAATTCCTAATGGTTCATTAGAGATTTGAGTTTTTTAGAAATGTTCGTTGATTGTACTAGAGTAACACATTCAAATCATTCTGCTCTGCAAATAATAAGCAAGATGTTTGTAATTTACTTGAATGAGAAGATAAATAGCTCCTTTGAATTATAATCTCTGTTCTTCAGGAGATGACTCAAAAATGAGGCAGGTAAAATACTATTACTTACTGAAGGTTTCTGGGAATGTTTCAGTGCTATATTTTTCATTTTCTTGTATTTTTAAAAGAGGAACTGTTAATCTTATCAGAAGTCACAATCTTATTTTGAGAAATTAAATTATCTTGATATTTAACAGAACAGATTCCTAGTCAAAGGCCTGAAATATTGCTTTACTAAACCATATATTACAATCTAAGATTGTTTGAATTAAATCAGGACCATTATAAAATGAAAAAAAAGAATAACAAATCCATCATTGGTCCACACTCTTATTCTAACTCAGAAAACTTGGTAAGAAATGACAGTCACTGTTTAATCGTGCTGTGCTTTGATTCTTCTCACTTTGGTCCATAGCATAGGCTTCTTGAAAAGCCACGTTGAAATAATCCAAAAGATGTATGATCATTTCCATAGCATGAGGCATGGAAAACCAGGGAGCATTGCTATTCCCAGTCCCTGTGCAGGAGAGGAGGCTGGGGGAGGTTTCTTTGAAGCTAAATGCTTAAGTAAAAGTGAATATGCTTTCATTTATTGAATTTGATCCTTATTATCTCTTTGTATGTTTCAAAAATGTCAAAAACATAGTTCTCCTTATTTAGTCCTCAGTAATACATTCTCAGGCACACTACATTAAAAATAGTTCATACCTTGAAGCTTCATTCCTACTGCAAATATCATAAGGAAGCTCCTGCTTAGTTATTTGGTAAAATTTCCCATCATGTTTTCTCAGTTAAGTCCTGAATGTCCTCCTCATTAATAACAAGATAATAAGTAAAAGTAAAACTTTACCCTAATGAAGAGGATCTTTTCTCCCACTCGGTATCTTCCTTGGGAGAGCCGCTCCACGCAGAACTTGCTGGGACACTTGCAAGGAGGGTCTTCAGAAATTTGTTTCACCTGAAATCGAAGAGCAGGCTGCTTCATTCACCTTCAGCAGGTTCCCTGTAGGCTGGTCAGTCCCCCGCCCCAAGGATTCCAAAGACCCTGGATTATTAATGCCTTCAAGCTCGTCTGTATCCCTGGACACAAGGAGAACACAGGAGTACCATTTGCTGAGGTCAGGTTCTGAAGTGAGATGATGACGTTGATGATGCCAGATGGTACCCAACTGGTACCCTAAGAATAATGAGCCTTGTCTCCTTTCTGCACAGCTAGAAAGACCACACACACTGTGTTGACAAAGTCTATAGGTAGCTAGAATGAACATACTGTGAACTAGCTTAGAATGAATATTTGAGTGTATGTTTCCTGGGTACAGCTTAATTAAATTACTTTCACTCACTGTCAAAATAAGTAAGTGATAATTTTCTTAAATGACACTTGTGTTTCATCTTCTTTTGAACTCTAATATTTTCTCTACGAAATCACCTCTTTTTGAGCGAGATTTGCCCTGCCACTCACTCCATTTCTGTGGTCATATCTTAGAATTTGTTTGCATTTTATGAAATTCATGCCTGAATATCAAATTTTTGTATCATGTATATCTATTTTCCTTACTCTTTTTTGGGGGGAGTTACTGGGGATCGAACTCTGGACCTTGTGCTTGCAGAGCAGGTGTTGGAACCACTGAGCTAAATCCCCGGCCCCTATTTTCTTTACGCTTTAAAAATTTCTAAGTGATATGTGCACAATGCTTATGATAGTTGTGACACCAGAAGATAATGTAATAGTTAGTGATTTTTATAAATAAAACTTTGTGTATGCTTTCCCTGATTTGGGGTTTCGTAACTATCCCTCTTTATCTAACCAACTCTCCAACCTAAAAGCAGTAATCTGTATTTCAAGAGAAAGTTTCTATGGAAGAAATGGTAATCTATGAACAATCTGCAGCCTGTATTTGAGAAGCTGGACAGAACAAATTTGATCTTGTGTAGGATGGCCTGTATTCATCTCGTCCAAATTTTCCCACAAAGATGTCAAGGAGAGAACAATATACAGTCACACGGAAGATAATATGGAAGTTCTTCAAAATATTAAAAATACTGCTACTAGCTGTATAGTATACAGGAAAAGAAATCAGTGTGTCAAAGAGGTATGTTTGCTCCCATTTTTACTGAAGCGTTACTCTCAATATCCAAAATATCAAATAAGCCTCACCTGACCATCAATGGATCAGTTCAAAAACATATGGTATACATATGCATAATGGACTCAACCAAAATGGATTCAAACATAACATAACAGAGTCTTTCCCTTGTAACAACATAGACAAAATGAACCTGAGGAAGATTCGGAAAGACAAACAGCAGCTCATGACCTGGATCAATCCAAAATAGTTGATCTTGTAGAAGCAGAGAGTAGAATGGTCACTATCAGAGATGGGAAAGTTCAGGGGTTGGAGGAGATAAGGAAATATTGGTCAAATGATACCAATATATATCAAATGATATATAATTACAGCGGTATAAGAGGAATAAATTCCAGAAATCTAACATATACCTTGGTGACTAGAATTAACGATGTCATGTTGAATCCTTTTAAAATGCAAAGAGAATGGATATTTAGTGTTCTTACCACAAAAATGATAACTCTGGGAGATAATGCATTTGTTAATTAGCTATTCACCATTTAATAATGTATGTATGCTTTCAAAAGTGCCAAATGTAATATTACCCATTAATTCTAAAATAAATAAAAATTTTAAAAACATGGAAGTAAGTACTGTTCTTCTGAGACCCTAACAGCTGTGACTCAATGGCGATCAAGAATATTCCTCTTATCTCTGGAAAATTCATTCTCTTTTACAATTCATGAAAATTCTGGAATAGTTTTTAAAACACAGAGTATGACAGAATCTTCCTAGATAACTCAGAGTAACTAAACTGGCACAGATGGTCCATGCTAGATACTTCATCTGTATGTCCTCATAATCATAATTTAGATCCTAGCTGCTGTATCATTTTGTATGATAATAATAACAATAATAATAAAATTAATTAAACAAATAAATTATGGTGCCTAAAGATTTGTCAAGAAAGAAATTTGATCATTCTTTCAAATGGTACAATTTCTAACTTTAGTCAGTCTTGTATTAAGCAAAAACTATCGGGAGAGTAATGTGTGAACTCCCCTGCAAGCTGGCATAAAAGAATTCAACTTGGTTTTGCTGGAATGAGAAAGATTCCAGAAATAAGGAAGAAAATGACACTGAAGGAAAAACTAGAACGAGTGGAAGAATGCTGAAAAAATGTATCTTAGAAAAAAAATGTATCTTAGGAACTATGTAATTATGCCTCAATGAAGACATACCAAGAAGAACCAACATTTTTAAAGGTACAGATTCAGGATGTACATTTCCACCAGTCCTTGCTGCCATCCGTTCATGTCAGAGTTCAAGCCTGGCTTTCTGGGTTGTTATTTCATCACAGCATATTGTATCCCAGCTACAGCTGACCCTTAGTGTTTCCTTTGTTGGATAGATTGAGTTCCTCGAGGGTTAAAAGGATATTTCATTAGATTTTTAAATCCTTGATGCTTTAATGGCCTAAACACTTGACCAATAAATCCATATTGAATACATAAATGAATAAATAGATGGGTAAGAATATGGATATACAAAGAACACAAGGAAATCAGTGGAACAGAATAAGGTTAGATTTAAAACCCTTAGAGATGACTTTCATTGAAAAATGAGGGTGCTGTCTGTCATTGAGTTAATGATGAAGAAAGTGACTCTGAGCCATTTTTCCTACCATGTTACACTGGGTGCACAGACACATCGCCTACTCATCCTAATGATAACGGGATTATGACCCTAGAGAACTTTTGAAAGGCTATTCTTAAATATTCCTCATATCTATGATGATACTAAAACAGGAAGTAGAAAAGGCGATAACAGTAGTGTCATTCCCTTCCAAAAATGCAGAGCCTCACCGGATTGGGAGAGGCAGTCACAGAATCAATGACCGTGTCTACACGTGTTTTTGGTGTTCATGTGTATCTTTGTCTCTACATAGTTAATGAACATATTAGGTGTGTGTGTGTGTGTGTGTGTACATACATTTTTCTACCATTGCTAGAAGGGGCACTGTTAGCCTTCTCACTACAAGAAAGGCTTCTACGATGAAAACAAAGATGAAGCGTAGGAAGGCAAGGAAAGGAAGAAAGCATTAGACGGTCACCCAGGAGAAAATCAGACAGATCGCATCAAAAGCACATGACGTGCAGCCTGCAATTTAAAAATGATTGCAGTTAGCACAACTCTGCTCACCCTTCACTAAGCAAGCATTAAATCGCTGTTTGTGGAGTTCCTCGGCTAAGAAATGACAACCGCAGGTCTGTATAGAAAGCATTGTCATCTTGTAGTTTTTGCCTCCACACAGCAACTATTGGTTCCCAATGAATTACAGCGCAAGGAACACTTCCTCAAGGGACCCGACCTTTTCTAATTCCTTCCTCACTCTGAAAATGGACTTGAGTTCGAAAACCCAGGGCTTTTTGGTAGTTGTGTGAGAGGAGAAGGCAGAAATGAAAGAGACAAGGCCAGACGGTGACAGTGGAAATATATTGTTAAGTAAACAGAAAGCGATGACATCTTGGGTTCTTACATTACCTTGGGATAAGTCAGTTTGGCACGTGCTCTGTTGTTGGCCAGAAACTCAGCCAGTTTTCCACTGAAATAGGCTTTCAAGAGGAGCCTGATTACTCCAAATTGTACTCTCTCTCATCCCCGGACTGAGGAAGTTGGGGGAGAAGAGGAAGAAAGTCAGAATGGTTTTATAGAGCTGTATTCAGCTCACTGTGTGGGAACTAGCTCAGCCCGAGGGAATGCAAAGAAAAGAACTAAACCTGACCCCGATATTTATCATAGCGGAATCACTCTATCAGAGCATCTGGGGAATAAATGAACAGGAATGGACCCACTGTGTTTCTTTTGTGATATCTTGATTAAAGAAGGTAGATTGTATCATCCACCAAAAAGGTCACCTATTTTTTTGTTTCATTATTCCCCTAAGTACCAAGCAAAGAAATGTGATGAAACACCGAAAGTTGCGAATCTGGCAGTTATTTCTGAAACTGCTTGCTGGAATATGATCATCTTAACCCAGGCCTTCTGCCCTTGCTTTCTTGCTAGCCCTATTTTATTTTTTCTCTCCTCTTTCTTCCCTACTCCTGCACTTCACCATCATTTTTTCTCTTTTCGTGGCTGCAGATAATAACTCTCTCAGTGTTACAAATAGCTTACAGTATTACGTACACATGCGAACTTTGTAGGCAATCTGTATTTCATACCTATGTTCTGAAATGCATACTGGGGTGCATCCACTTAAACTCTCAATTCTATGTATGCCTCATATGTGGTGAAGCAGTCGTCATAGGGACGGATCCCTTCCTATATTAACTTGAAGCTCTGACTTAAACCATTAGTGAGACTCAAATTACTTTTCTCTCTGTTCCACTGTCTCTGAAATAAAACACTTCCTTGAAAAACTCCCACTTAAACAGAATACAAATAATTCAATTCAGTTCTCCCTAAAGTAAGAGAAAAGAGACTTCTGTGGTGAAATAAACTGGGAAAATTCCAGGTTAAATGAGAATCTTATTACAGAAATAGCCAGAGTCCCTGATATGCCCAAGCGCATTTCCAAACTCCAGGTGGAGGCTGCAATCAGTTGTATTTCTTGAACTGACCTAACCCTAAAACGTTTTCCCCCGTGGCATGTCTGGTGCTGGTAGTGTTTGGTTAAGCATTACTTGAGTAATGCTGAAGACTTACAGAACATAGTATTCTAGATGGTAATGGTACAGAAATAGAGACTTGGCACATTTCTCACATTCACTTAAAACCCCTGCATTCTATTGGAACTAAACTGTAAGTTCTGTGCCCAAACTCTGGTAAACCTTAAGGAGCACATAACTTCAGCTGTGCTGCAGTGCCCAGCCTTGTTTCCAGCTGAAAGAGCAGAACTTGGGGCCAGGGAACTGGTGCAGTGACTGCTTTGTACTCTACAGAAAGTCTGTATCTCCTCATCAGTGATGAAGGAGGGCTAGAGATGAGGCAAACTGGTAAGAGCAGGAACCATGCTAAGGACACTCCCCAGTACACATAAGGGGCTTCAAGTGGTAGGGTCTCCTTCCTCAGAAAACCCTCAGGATCCCTGAAAAGGTTGTGTTTCCAGAACACGTGGTCAAACCAGAAAAAGAGAACAACTAAGAAGATCTTTCAACCTTAGTTACCTACATTTATAATGAATTCAACAAACATGGCATTGGACAGATATAGATTAATAAAATACGGTTCTTATCTTTGAAAAATAGGTCTTTACTCCGTTAGGAATACATATTTATGCCCAATAAGGTAAATGTTTCCTTAAATATATACAAAGTTCTTTATGAAACAGGGAGTAATTGGCCAATTTAAACTGGGAAGAGAAATTCCAAGAAAAGCTTTATCTAGAAGCTAACACAACCAGAATTTTGAAAGATGAAAAGGTATTTCAAAGTAGATTTAAAAGCAGAAGTCAGAAGTATGGTGAAGAAGCAATAATGGCTATATCGAAACACAGGGGCTACCCTATGGACGGAGGGCTTATGGGACATGTTGGTGAGCTTGGGTTTTAAAGTGGACCAGATGGGGCATGCCTAGATAGACTTAATTAGATTTGAGTCACCTTTAGTGGCATCATTCTTATTGCAAGGAGTTTTGTAGAAAATTGCAAGCATCAAATGATCAACAGTGTCAAAGGCCAGGAAGAACTCTCGTGATTATAGGTCTCAAAAAGTCATGTGATTCAGTAATTGATTCGTGAAGAAGTAAATGGTGACACTGGCTATACAGGCTTCAGCAGTTTGGAAGTCTGACCACAAGACATTAGAGAATGTGACTGGAAGTCACAGCTGAGAGGCAAAGTCCTTAAAACAGGGGTAGTCGATGGGAAAAATATATTTATAAGAGAAAGACTGAAGCAAGTAGACTTACCTATCTTAAGTCTAATACATGACAGGAAAAATTATTTTTATTGGTGCATAAATAATGTACCGTTATCTGCTATTGATACAATGTATTTCCTTATAAAGCAAAGTATGTGATTGCTCCATGAAAGGCATTTAAAATCCTTTCACATCCTGAGTGAACTAAAAAAAATTAAATTAAAATAGTATTGGTGCAGATACCTTAACTGATAGGCTACATTTAGGTTTGGTGTGTTAGAAATGAGAGCTCTTAATTGCTTGGACTGATTATGTTTCTATTCATCTAAATCTGCAATATAGTCCAATGTCTCATGGGGAAAAGCAAAGGAAGCTAAGATGGAGAAATCATCGCTCTCTTTCTCTTCATAACATTATGTCCATCCATCATTTCCCCACCTTTTTCATCTAAGATGCTAGGGAAAGAAACCCCAGCTAGGGACTAATAGGCATCTATAGTCTGGCTACTGTGTTCATCTGGCACATGGTCAATGCTAGTTTCTAAGGACTTTCCAGGAATGCAAGACCTACTTCGATCTACTCTGGCATTATCATTTTCTGTAAAACTCAAAAACAATCAAAAACTCATAAATTAAAACTTCACACCAGCAACATTTCAGCCACTGATAATTTATCTTCTTCACTAGTGCTTAAGAGGCAACAGCAGTACAGTGAGAATTTTTAATTATCCAGTTTGCTGTTATACCTAGAAAGTGCTTATTGTGATTATAAGGATATTATTAAAATTTGTCCTGAATTCCCCAAACTGTGACTCAAAGACTTGTTGGTAGAGAAACCCCAGAGAGTTTGATGGAGTTATATTGGAATCTCAGCTCTTCTTCTCTAAGCAAGTTATTGACCTTCTAAGATTCCATTTCTTCAACTAAGAAACCGGCCTTTCAGAAATGAGAGCACTGGATAAAGCAGACGACTCTGGGTGATGGCAGACAGTCAGTAAAGCACAGTTATCTTCTCTATCACATGTTTGGTTTTCTTTCTGTAACAACTCTCAAGATTTTGTGCCTTAGGGTTCTTATCCGTCCGAAGAGGCATCAAAAACCAGTAGCAATAAGGGGTAAGTGTTCTCGAATATCATTTTCCAGTTGTTGACTTCCCCTAACATTTTAGACGCTACTCAGCAGAAGTGAGTGGCCCTTCATTATAAAAGATGGACTCAGTTTTGAATTTCAAAATGAATAGTAAGAACACAGACTTTTTCATAGGGGTTTAAAATGAATTTCAAGGAAATTGAAAGAGGGGAAGGTCAGGCTGACATGAAACTGCAGAGAATATGCTTTATAGTTAAAAGGCAACGCACTGCTGGTGAGAAGTCTGAGCGATTTTACTTACGGCATCGTCCAGTAAGTTTCCTGTGCTCTTTTTTCCAGAAGACTTTGATGAAGGAGAAGGAGAAGGAGAAGGAGCAGAAAGTGTTTCTTCCTGTTCGATTTCTTTTTCCAATTTTATCAACCCGGGAGGCTCCACACCGTACCTTTTAAAAAGTGTCAGATCATTACACATGCATAACTTATCCTGATGCAGTTACCACACATTGCTTTGATTATGAGCTGCATTATATAAGGTGCTGCCTTTAAAAGCAGCATTAACTATTTCTGGCACTGAAACAGTAAGTGCTCAATTAGCACCCTGCAAGCACCAGAAAAACACATACACCTGCTTTGTATGTATACATGCTCATATACATGTATATGAGCACACATATAACATGCTAAAATAAATTAAAATATTCAATGCAATGTGTGAATGAGTCAACAACATGAGTAATCATGGGATATTTATCTTTAGCTTTCACATTGATCAGCTTTAACAGTATAACTGCTGCAAGTAAGCTCCATGTTGAACATGAGTTTGTTAAATACGGAGGTAAAGGTGACAATTCATAAGAGCTTAAGTATAGCCAAGATACCTGTGAACAGACAAATGGAAGAAGAAAATGTGGTATATGTGTATACCATGGAGTATTACTCAGGCATAAAGAAGAATGAAATCATGTTATTTGCAGGAAAATGGGTGAAACTGGAGATCATGCTCAGTAAAAATAGCTAGACTCAGAAGAAGTAAGGACAGAAACCCAGGAGGTAGACTTCTGGAGACAGGGAAAGGAGTAAACAGGAGAGGGGAAAGAAAGAGAGCAGGGAAGGATAGGATTGAAACTGACTGAGACACATGCATTTACCAACTTCCCATAGTAAACTGCATCATCATGGAACATTAATGCTCAGTAATAAAATATATTTTTAAAGGTATTAAGATGAAAAATGGTGGAGATAAAATCAGAAAGTCAGAGCCAAGCTTGAAAAGAGCAATATGTCAAAATAAAAATTTTAAATGACTTAATAGGATAAATTCACTGTTTTTTTTTTGTTGTTGTTGTTTGTTTGATTTTGGTGAATCGAACTCAGGGCCTCGTGCTTGCCGGGCAGGCACTGTGCCAGTGACCTACATTCCTAGCCCCAGAATAAATTCACTGTTAATTGAACATCATCAATGGGCTCAGAACAAAGCCCAAGGGTCATACGGTATCATTGGTTAACCTTTCAGAAACAACATAATGAAAGTACATATATTGTTACTGGTGAGACAAATAAACATGACATGAAACAGAAATAATTTAGAATAACAATAAGAAAAAATTATGATTTCTGAATTATAAGTGACATAGGAATTCAAAGAGAAAGAGATATATACTTGCTATCAGGTTCATATCATTCCTAATCATATTTTTCTTAAGCTACACTTAAAATTAGGTTTAGTTTCCTAGACATATATCAGTTGCACTTAGGTAGAGACAGCAAAGATAATTCCAGAATTTGAGAACTGTGAATGATTTTGGGGTCATCTCGTTACACTCCTTCATTCTCACAAACAAGAGTACACATCTCAAGAAGGTGTATAAACAGCTAGGAGCAGAATAAGAACGGAAATTCAGGTTTTTTGCCTTTGGAGCTGGTGTCAATTTCCCTTGACATTTTCATCAGGTGACTTTTTAGTAGAAAGGAGAGAAAATAGTCGCTTGGAGATTACAAGTATGTTACTGATAATATACAAAGCAAATCATCTATAAGCAAAGAATAAATATGTTGACAATATATTTGTGCCTTTGATTGAATGCCGTGTTAAATCATCATTAAATGTAAAATTTTAAACTTTTGTTCTACTTGAATGGTTTGCTATTTTAACTGCCATCACTGCATGTATATTTCATGTAAATTTCAAGGAGGAAGAAATTTTTCCACTTTTGATAGTTTTTTTTTCTTAGAGAAGGTGCCCAATTCGGTTAATTCCTAGATTCCCTGCTTCATTATTCATTTTTCCATAGTGAAACAAAAGAATTTTAATCAACTGAGCATGCCTGACTCAGTTTACCTTTTTCTTCTAAGGAGAAAGCTGTCCACTGGAAGCCATCTGTGGGCCTTCCACTTCGATTCATCTTTGCTTGTGACTCGGGAGTTACTGGCCTAATTCTACAGTTCATTTGCAGATGCTAACCATGTCTGCCAGCTTGGACCTTTTCAGCTATGAAACTGATATTTGATATTTCATCTGGTATTCTTTTATTTTGTTTTGTATATTTTTTTCAGAATTCACATAGACGCCCTATGAGAGCTGGAAAATTTATATTAGAATGCAGCACAAAAAAGCTCAAGATGGCACAATTCAACTGACAAATTACCACTCTGGGGACAACCTCGAGTCCATGGAGTAAGTTTTGACTCCATGATGAATAGTCATTAGGTGTAAAGACGTGGCCACCATTTGCCATATTTTTCACCTTTTGCACGTATTAACAAATTAATGAGGCATTAGTGGAAGCCCTGCTGGACTGCACATTGTATAATGAGGAGACCATTGTCTGCCTGTGGCATCTGCATCAGTCTGAGTGCATAGTAGGTACCTAACAGCAACCACACGAATGATCGAATATTTCTTTATTCTTATGTAACAGTGACGTCAGGTTTTAAATGTGAATCCAATGTCATGGCTTTGGATTCCTAAATGCACATCTCACTTTAATAAAACATGTCATCTTTAAATGTACAAAAATGGTCTGCCAAGAAAAAAATAAACAGTTCTCCTAAAAGACTAAGCCTTGTCCAAAACTGAAACACATTTTTAAAAATATTTGAGTAATCATTAGTTATGCTAAACTCTACATAGCATCGCATTACCACGGATAACTTACATGGAGATACTGTATGATTATTATTCTTCTCTGACATAGACTTGAACTAATTATATCACTAACCTATTTCTTAAATTGAGCAAGTCAGTAAGTGTCTAAAGCCTATTTTCTGTCAGGAAAGAATAGGTAAAAATGGTCCACCGCTGAAGTCCATTACAACAGTGGAGGAAGAAAGGAGAAAGACAGTTAGAAAAAGAAAAGCTGTGGAAAATCTTCCATGATTCTAGTACTATTGGGCATCTTGACATACATTATTTTTGAGCTTTAGTTTTATTTTAATTTAGAAAGAGAGTTCAAATTCCTGTGTTCTAATATTGTTGGAAGAAATTAAAATAGTATATATTACATGCCCCAGATAGCATCTAACATGCAGCACAACCTCTGAGACTGATGTTTATAAATTAATTTATTTAATAAAGTTTGCACAACTGCAACCCTAACTGCAGGTCTAAGTTTCAAGTAGCAAATCTTCAGTTTATTTAAAATAGCTACCATCAAGTGACAATGTGGCTAACAGCCTCAAAAGTAAGGTGCCATTGAGATGAAAGGCAATATTTTCACTTCTGTTATGTCCTTTGAAAAAAATTTGTTTTCCTTAAAGGCTTAGAATTGTGGAATATCAGAAATATTTCAGGACTGGAGCTTCACAGACCAAGTTATAATCTCAGCTTAGCCACTGGCTAGCTAGATGAACTTTGACAAGCAACTTTTTCTAATCTCTTTAGACTCCTGTGGCTCTTAGTTCCATGAAGATACAAAAGGTTGTTACGTTTAATATTCTTAGGAGAATAATGTAAGCTTGGTAGTGAGGCTAGAGCAACTTATCATACAATTGACAGCCAACTCAAGAGTCAGTCACAAGGGAAAATACCATATTTGAAAGTAGAAATTAGGTCAAGAGGAAAATATGATTTCATTTGTAATTCTTGGTAGACACAAGCCATCTTTTAAGAACAGGTTGCATGAGTTTTGCCTTTTCTTAATAAAGTGAAATATTAATGCACATGCTATTAGAGTTAACAACAGACTCAACTCTATGTCCAACATAAACAAGGTAGATTTGGTTAGCATAAAATCGGTTCCAAAGCCACACATGGAAAATCTTATCCCTGGGGATTTTTCTTTATCTGGAAACGCTGAAAATGAGCTATGCCACTAAACATAGAAAATCAACCCTAAGCCCCAAATCTCTGCTTACATTGGCTTTTGAATACTTCAAGCTGCCTCAGGTACAGTCTGCCCATCCCGAAATTAACACTTAAATACCACTCATTGGCTTCCTGTCAGTCTGGAGTTGTCAACAGTCTGTAAATCATGAAATTCCCCTGGGACTGAGAACGTGCACCTGCAAACCAACTTAGCCATCACATCATCGATCTCATTTCTAGTCTCCAAAAGGCTACTGGACTTTCCTTTCCATGACTAACTTTACCACTTCACGTTTCTATGTGGTCTATAAGGTTTTCACACATTTATCTCATTGTCCCTTCTCTTCCAACTACAAGTCTCTAGAGATTTAGAAGGGAATAGCTGTCGTTCTCAAGCTGAGTACGAGTCAAACTAATGAGCTCAAGAAGGTTGAATCTATGAAAACCAAATCCTCATAGACCTCATTGGTATAAAAATAAGGCAAATACCCTGGGCAAATATTTATTTTTTTGTCATTTTAAAACGTCAAAGTGCTAGAGAAAGGGTCACTTGATTAATGACTTTCTGATGAGATTCAAGAAATTGATTTCTCATTCTTCTGACATAATTTTTGAGATTGATCCATATGAAATAACTGAATCCCCAAACTAGGGACTAGACAATTTACTCAGCATACTCAGTAGACTTTAGTGGACTAGTTTTGAAACAAGAGTCATCTGAAACCTATTTTATTAGTGTTCAGAGAGCATATTTTTTGGACAAATGAATTTTATTGACAAATTCTTCTTTTGAAAGCATGTATCAGTTTATAGATTCTTGCAAGATTCCTTTTGCCCAATTTATCTATTTTGAAGCAATTTAAACACAGATTGATATTTAGAAAAAAAATTGATCATGTGAGGCATATGAAATTCTTAGAAGTTAGTTCAAGTGCTTTAAATAAGATGAATATTCAATTAATAATCTTGATATAAGACTAATCTTCCTTTAAGTAACACTTCTCTCCATCACACTAACGATTGAAATAGAAGATTAAAGGAAATGCTCACACAGGATTTTATGAGTCATGATAAAATGTTTTCCAAATCAAAGTAGCACCCTAAAACCAGAAAAAGTTCGGCTGTGAATTTGATTCTTGATTATGGCCCCAAACTAAAATATCCGAAGCTTTCATCGTTATTATCAAAGTAGTCTTAGATCCGCAGTCTATAAGATGATTTCTAGTAACTTCTTTTTTTTCTGTTTCTGTCGATTAATGTCAAAGCACTGTCATGAAAATTTGAGGCTTTATTGCGTTGCTTTTGCTGAGTACTTTACTTTTCACAAGACCAATGTATGTTTGCATTCAGAAACTGACACCTTTCTGAAATTAGCAAACATTTCACTCTCTGGTAATGATAGTTCTATTTAGTTGAAAATAAAGGTTTTACCCATAGGAATAAAAATAGGTGGTCTCAGTCTTCCATCTCGCAACTCAGAAAGCCCAGGGCCCTTGGAGGAGTTTTGCTGGGTCCCAGGCAGAAGCAAGGGGTGGAAAATTGGAATCATCCTGGGCCACAGTACTGAAGCTATGAGGATGCGTTTAAGATGACATTTATGAAATGTGGAGAACTAAATATTAGGAGCCAAATACAAGAAAGCATCCTCTATCAGGGATGAAAAATACAACACTCGTAAGATTTAATTGGGAATATTTTTAAACATCAAAACTCATCTGTATTATAGGCAAATTAATGTTGTGATTTTTGAGAGCTCTTGCAAAATCCATTCTAGTTTTCACTAAAGTTGTTTTAATTTATTAACGTGTGTAATCCTTCAGTGTTCTCTCTACCTGCTATTCAGTTGTTTACCTCATGTTGCACATAGTGACAAAAGTAATACCTCAAGTAAGATCACAATTTATTTTCTTCCCTAATGGAAAAAAATGTGTAGTAACACACCACCCTCATGAGCATGAGGAAGATAAAAAGCAAGCATTATAAAATAAATATGTAATGTAAGGGTCATCTCGGCCTTTACTTAACTCTCCCGTGATATCAGTAATTTTTTATGCTGTAGGATTTTTCATGGTCACACAATGTGGTCAGACGCAGTGGCCCAGAATGATCACAATTTTTAAATATTCTGTGATGAGGAGAATTCTGCATATGATATCCCACCTTACAAATGACAAAAAGGATTCCTTTTCATTTCTTTTAATTTGTTTTACGTCTTATGCAAAGGACAATCAATGCCAGACTCAGAGCTGGAAGAAGCATGATTTAAGGCATGTTTTTACAATGTATAGCTTGTCTCTTCCTTCGATTACTCAGCCATAATTAAATGTTTTCATTCCTAATCAGAGTTTTTGGGCAAAAAACAGTACAATTACAAAGTAAAATTATATCTAGGAAACGGGTAAACAATTATAAATGAGAGGAGTGGGAAATGATAAGCGCCAAGCAATTCTACAGAGAGAGCAGCGCCCTCTATTGACCTTGAAGCTTTCAGAAACCTTGCTTCTCTGGTGCATCTGTTTACGTTAGGAAAGCATTATGACCTGGCACTTCAGCCTAACTCATGCACAGTTACAGCAAACAGCATAGTTACTAGGAGGAATTCTCTTTTCCACGAGCATTTCAGGCGCAGCCGCTCAGACGCTGTGGCCTGCCTTTGTGTCTACTCTTCCCTTGCGTGCAGCTAACTTTCCGTTTCTTATGGGAGAGCAGCTGGGTCCCTGGTTCTGCTCTGACGATTTTTCCTGGAGGCCCAAAGCCCCAGGACGTGGGGTAGTGGGCTCGGCAAGGCCCTAGAAGCAGCAGAACCTCAGTCCTGCTCCTTCACAGAACTCGAGATGGGGGGCACCGAGGAGAGCAGTACCCAGGAAGCAGCCCGGCCACGAACTGAAAGTAGGCCCCGGGCAGCAAGGTAGGGAGATCCCCAAATATTACACAGTGGTTCTGTTTTATTCCATGTTGAATAATAGTAATATTTAATCTGAATTTTTTAAAAAAACATGAAAGCAATGTTTTTCAGCCCAATCACTGCGGTACAAAGAAATTCATACTTGATACACAGTTCACTAAAATTATATCGACTATGATGATTTAAAGAATTTGGGATTACTTCTCAACACAGGTTAGAGCTTTCTATTGGATTGTGGAAAGAAAAAAGTCTGTTTATGGGCAGTTAGTTTTCTAACCATGCAGGAATTTCCTGATGTTCATTCATTGTATTTTTCCCTTGATTTTCTACATAAAGTCTCTATTTGAGTATGTGTTGTACCAGTGATGTCTCTCGCTGTATTTTACTGGTTCATCTGATCTCAACCCTCAAAGGATAGCCCGGCCTGGGCGAGAAAACATCTAATTAATTCTGAATTTTCATTCTGGATCAAGATCTCTTCAAACATGTACATGTTCATTTCTTATTCTTTGGTTTTCATAGAACTATCAGTAGCCCTGTCTGTTGGTGTGTGAAATATAAATGGGAAAACCCTAAACCAAAACAAATTTGCCTACATAATACAGTCTCTCCCACTACTTATTTACCTACAGTTACTTTTGTTTTTCTTCCTCTAGAAGAAAACATTTTCACATACTATGTCTTTATGTAAACTTTCTCTAAGAAAAACAATAATTTTAAAATTATTTCTTCATTTAGAAGTAGAAACTGAAAGATCTGAGAGATACATGAGAGGTTTCACGCGAGAATTAAGGAAAAGGAAGCCAAAAATATTAAAGAATAAACTGCAAGCAAAGACGTGAAGGGAGAAAGCATAAAGGCTAAGAAGAGACTTAAAGAGAGTTAGCTGTCACATAAAACCATATGTACAATATCCTCCTTCATGCCCCTTACAAGAAAGGTTTAAAGGGAAACATAATTGACCAAAGGATATTAACACATGATCAGACATAGTGCTTTCTTTGACAAGAAGATCATGATGTCAAAAATATTTGTAGCATACTTTTCGCTTGAACAATTGCTTTCAAGATGTGTACTGCAATCATATTTAAATAGGTAGTTCCTCAACATCCAGGTTAAACATCAGTCATGGAAGCCATTCTGCCTCCGGGTTGCCTGGATGCTGAGATGGGAAGGTCCTGATGTAGCAGCAGCTATGACCTACCTGGCTGCAATCCGGCCAAGTTCCAGCAAACAGAGACACACTTCTCTTGGTTGCTTGTGGAGGACTGGAAGACAAAATGGAGGTAGATGCCTTTACAACACAAGGGATTGTGAGGTAGCTCCTCAGACTCCCCTTCACCCCTATCCCTTATGATTCCTGAAAATGAGCTGATTTTCTTTCTGATATTAATACAAGACCCACCCTATTCCCTGGGACACTGAGCTGTACTAAAGGAATTATGTAGCTATCAGAACCCTGCCAGGCATCCTTCCCAAAAGCTACCAGTCTCAGAAACTCTCAAAGTAAATAGTTCTCATCCTGAAAATACTTTTCCTTAATTAGCTCAATTCAATATTGGTTACACATGGAGCTGTAATCATGCTATAAATATTTACTTCAACACACACAGCACATGCAAGACAATGGAACAGACTGGACTTCTTAATATTCTGGGTCTACTCTTCGCTGGTGATTTTAGCAGAAATAATGCAATGAATAAATGCAGGCATTATAAACCACCGTTCTTTGTTAGCCCACAAACAAAGATGCATGTCAAGTGAGACTGTGAAATGTGAAGTCCTCTCCTAATCAAATCTGATTGAATAATACCTTAAAGACAATTTCAACAGGCTGGATTTTGTCAATACTTGCCAATGTGCCATCAGCCACCTTTACCCATCAAATGAATGAGTCAGAAGACTTCTATGAATTTATATTCTTATTCCAATATAATTTGATGATTCATTACTCTGCTTTAATGATGGCTCTGGATACACTGACACATGTTGACAAACTACACCTGCATTTCATGATCCCACAATAAGAGCTCACCCTGCTCCTACACTACTTTCTTTTGTAACAAAGAATATTTTTTAAATGTTAGTATATCCATCCAAGAAGAAAAAAATATATTGGAAAAGTTTTGCATTAAGAACAACCTTTAGAATGTTTTACAGTTACCTTTATAATACAAGTCTTGCTTGTTGATAAACTTTAAAAATAGCAATACTGTTTTAATTCTTAAACATAGAATTTTATAATAATCCAATTTTCTAGTATTAGTCTTTTAACCTAAATATTTTAATTCCTTCCCTCCACATACAGTAGCAGCCTAAATGTAGTCCACTGACATCATAATGAGATTTGCTGGGGATAGGTAGAAATAGAAAAAAATATTTTCTTTGGCTTTAAATGACATACAATTTAATTATTTTTTAGAAAGTGTCACTTTTTTTTTGGTACCGGGCATCGAACTCAGGACCTCGCACTTGCGAGGCAGTCGTGGTGCCACTGAGCTAAATCCCCGGCCTCAAATGTCTCTTTTAATTCTTCTAATTACATTTTAATGGCATTAACTATGTTCATTTAAAAATACCATATAGTTTCTCTTACATGAGAAATGCAAGTTATAAATAAAGAGCAAAATAAAAGGTAGATGATAGGAAGTTAGGTGACACATCTCTCTCAAATGGGAAGAGGATCACCAGATGGGAAGAGAGCGGAGGCGATGGAAACAGGAACGAAGATGCATTCTGTACCTTGCCAACCCCACGCACGGAATGCAAACATTGTGTACTGCAAACATAGACTAACAAAATGGTACATGTTTGTACTATTCACTAAAATAGATCCTGGAAACAGCGAATTACAGAATATTTCTGTTCTTGATAATACAGATTTTAGATTCAGTGTCTAGTGAACAGTCACAAAATCTTACAAAGAAAATAATTAAATTGGCTTCCCATAAAGATATTGACTTCTTCCAGAACAAATGTGCCAGCTGGCTACGGCTAGAAAGACACCACCTTTGCAGGATTTGATGTATTAAATCAACTGCAGTCCAAGGTAGCTCGGAGAGTGTACTTTCACATCAACACCAATTTCAAACCAAGAATAGTAACAAACATCACAAAATAGGAGTGAACAGATGAAAATCAAAATTCTTCTCTGGATTATCAATTTCTTTGAGTTCGGGGTTTTAAAACACCATGTCGATGGTACAAAATAAGAAAAAGAAGTTCTGAGTGGGAGGAAGGACTACATAAAAGCTGAGGAGAGAAAGACTCTTAATGCCCTGTCAATAGCCTCATCCTAAGTAAAAGCTGTGTGAAGCAGGTGGCTAAAGCTTTAGGAGCTTCAGATCATTTTATGCATTTTATGGGAACAGTGTCAAGAAAAGAAAATTATTAGTGAAGTGAATAAATGGTGTCAGTGTAGTCAACTGCCCACTGTAAAAGTAATTCCTGGTACAATTAAAATGATTTTTTAACCACATTCTATATTCTGAGGACTATAGAAGCCTTAGTATAAAATAGGTATATTTTATGGAAAAATCATATTTTTTTGAAGAAAAACAATAATGTGGGCAATATAAGAAAGACAGTTTGATACAGAGGATGCATCTCTTTGTTTCCTCATTTGTCAAATTAAAGTATTTTGCATGACAAAACTCCAATGCTGACTCTACATAGAGAACCATACACAGAACCTATATAGAATGGATGGACAGAGTACAGTGGTTGTAGGATTCAAATCACGAAGATCCCAGTATGAGTGTGAGCTCTAACATTTACTCTTTGTATCATTTTGGGAAGTTATTCCATAAAATCTCACTTTTCCAAGGAAAAATAATACTGCCTAGTCCACCATATTTTTGTGATGATCAAGGACAATAAGAACCATATAGGAGTAAAAGAAGGATTCATACTATCTTTCCTCTGAAAAATTCTCTTTAAGACAAACAGCTCTCTAGTCAAAAGTGATTATTATGCAAATGGTTTTTATCACTGCATGGTTTTATTAAAAAATAATCAAAACCAAGTCAAAGAAAAATATAGTGCAGAAGACCTCTGGGAAAAGTAACACAGACCCCCCCCCAATTCAAAAATACGTGGTGAGAGACTCAGTCTCATAACCTAGATTCTATAAAAATCTCAGGGGCATCAAATGTCAAACGGAATGCTGATGGAGTTAGCGACAAAAAACTCGGCCTTCCACTAAGGCAGAGGGCAGAGTTTCAGTGTCACAGAATCTGCAAGGATTAAAATGCACCAGGCCATGAACAGCTTAGCTAACTATGTTAAGTGTAAACAGATGGGAAAGAAATGAAAGCATGAAATATTTGCTGTCCATTTGTTTTCTATATAAACGGAGGCTACAATATTTATGCTAATTTGAAGGAAAGTGCTTTTAGCTTTTTAACTTTGGAAGGAATGTGAAAAGCTATTGTTGGCTAAATACTGTTGAATTATGAAAACATCATTAATTAATTATTGCATATCTTCTCGAGGTAGAGAATAGGCTCTGATGAATCTGGGAGAGTAGTAGAGTAGAAATAGTGTGAACTGGAACACAGAGAGATTAGATTCTCCTCAAGGTTGCCTCATTTAATGATTTGTGAAAACAGTATCACCTTCCATTTGCTTTTCCCAGTAAGGTAGTTATGTTGTTGAGAGCCCTTGCCAAATGGTAACTAGTTAAAATGTTGCTCCCTTGACAGTGAAGAGTTCACAGAGTAGCAGTATTGATATCAAGAAGTAGCATATTAGGAATACAGCCCAGCCATGCTGATTAGAATCTGCATTTAGACAAGTTTGCAATGTGATGAGCACATACATTAAAGTTTGACAAGCAAGCATGTGCTCATTACTCAGAAACGTGAACATTCTCATACCTGTTTACCTAGAGATATTTCAGTGCACTGTGCTATGTGAGACCTGCTGCACAAATCTGAATGACAATGGTGGTGGCAGTAGTGATGAAGATGGGTGGAGAGGAAATAACTCATGCACTTAGTGGGCACTATGGGCATTTCTATCCTGATGGGACCTCTGTGTACCAAAGATGCTGGCCCGAAGGTGAAGGGGCAGCCACAACCTGCTCTGTCATTATGAGTAAAACCCACACAAAAGCCTGTGAATTGAGGTGTAGGGGACAATTAGGCAAAGCAAATTTGGAGCCACAACACTCACCTGAAGAGGTTGCATCCCCTCAATTTAAAAAAAAAAAAAAAAAGAAAGAAATTGATCTGAAGCTAAATAGAAGGAAAAAGTAAACATGGAAGAATTATATGAATTCATTGATGCTGAGTATCTAAATTCTTCAGAATCAATAAGACAATTTGAACTAGAGCATGGCATCCCCATAAATCGTATAAAGAAGGCATGGCCATTCCCAGTCTCAGTAATAATGTAAGGTCTGTAGCATGATTTGTGTGTCGTTAATTGCTCTTTCCTCCAATTTGAGAAATGTCCTGGAACAAAGGTTTCTCTTTCAGCACCCAGCTTAAATTAACAGATTAATTCAGTATCACACAGAACTGTAGTCAGAGTCAGGTGTTTTCTAAGTTGATCTTCATTTCTATTTTATTTCTCCTTTTACTTGAAATCCTACAAACATTTAAAATTACCTCACAGTGTCCATTTCCATAACATTGGAGTGTGACTTGGGAGGCAAATGGAGCTGTATGCAGATCTTAGTTGGGCCTTTTAAAAAGCACAGTAACACTGAGCACAGGATTTAATTCTCCAAGTCTCAGCTTCTCCTTTGTAAAATGGTGGCTGCGAGAGCTTAAGATGGTGAGCGAGGTGCACTCTTCAGCCACTCTGCTGAGCTGGGAACTCAACCCTGCAGCCTTGGGACAGTGAAAATGGAATCCTGGAAAAGCTGGAAAGCTGTCCACTTTCCTCATTCAGCCCTGGCGCTGTCGAGTCCTTGATGAAGCTATCAGTCCACTGAGAGGCTGAGCTCTCTCTCAATCAGTCTATCTCATATTCGCTCTGGCAAAGGGCTACTGGCTAGACGGGAAAAGAGTTTCTTGAGTTCAAAAATAAAATGTGAATGAAATGCTAATAAATAAGTACTTCTCTAAACGAAAAAAGTGTTTAAAAAACATAAAAATAATCCTCAAAGAAAATGAGTCTGGGAAAGAAATGAAATGAATATAAATAACCTAGAGCTGAAACTCTGTCACAAAATTGTTATCGTACATTGATACTAATAATATAGCCTTTTTTCTCAATGCAAATATTCTTATAGTCCTCAATATAGACAAGAACAAGAACA